GGGGAAGGTGAGTATCTTATTCTTTGTGATGTTGCTGGGGTGCTTCTGTGTACCAGGTACAGCTATATCTGTCGTTGTCTGTGAGCTCAGTAACAGGTAAAAATAGTTTCGTACATCGAAATATTGAATTTCGAAATATTGAATTTTTGCGTAATTTATGCTTTTTGCATCTTTTAGGAGGACAAATCACGTGTGGAAATCTTTCATAGCTATGCTCGAAAGCAGAAACGTACCCCGTGGTCGTGGTTTTTGGGAATTCTGGAACGGCAAGATGGATTCACCATTAATCAGGTTTCTTCAATGTCACACTACGTGTTAAAAAAAATTTTTTTAGGAGATTCTATGTTTGAAAGGTTAATAAAATCACTGACATGGGATTCCCATCACCAAATTATTCGTACGGATTTGTTCTTTTTTTTTTTTTTTTTGGATTTTCTCATACCTTTTTTTTGATTAAATAAGTTTTGTGATTATTTTACTTGCAAAATAATTTTTTCCCCTTTAATCTAAACGATTTTTTAAGGTAGTAATTAAGTCGTTTAGATTTTCTCATACTTTTTTTGTAAAGAAATTTTCTGACTATTTTGCTTGCAAAATAATTTTTTTTTCTTCTTTAACTTAAGTGACTTTTAAGATAAAAATTAAAACTTTCATCCGTGCAGCTTTAGCGTTCTTTTAGATTTTCTCATACCTTTTTTTGTAAGTAAATAAATTTTCTGATTATTTTGCTTGCAAAATAATTCTTTTTTCCTTTAACTTAAATGATTTTTTAAGATATAAATTAGAACTGTTAATTTTTTTTTTTGTTACAGATGTCATCGGTGCTAGCAAAATTTGCATGTTTTGGCAGCACACTGATGGAAGGGGCCGATCTCAACTTCTACATATCGTTTCTGAAGAATCAGCTCCGCACACCGGGCAATGAATATATCAACACAACAGCACGATGCCTACAAATGATGCTTCGAATTGACGAGTACCGTCATGCATTTGTGGCTTTGGATGGCATCACAAGGTGAGAGGATGTTTATCGAAGAAATGGCACGCTTACGGCGTGCATTTGGTGCTAAGTGGAGGTATATGGCTCAAAATCGGATGACCTGGCACATAGCCATTCAGCGAGCCTGTGGGAGTATCCTAGTAACATCACTAATAGGGGATAAAAAAGTCGAATATCCGGGGGCGGGGGGGGGGCTTTGTCATAATTTATGTTTTTTTATCATTTTGTTTTTTTATAGTTTTAAGTGTTTTTTTATAATTTTAATTGTTTTCTTTTTTTTTATAATTTTAATTGTTTTCTTTTTATTTTTTTATAGTTTTTTTTTGCAGTTCATTTTCTATTATTTTTATTGTTTTGTGATTTTATCGCTTTTTTATTGTTTTTTTATTGTTCATGATTTATGGTTATTGGTTTTTCTTTTCTTTTTCTTAAAAAAACAATTATTGTCACTGATAAGATTTTTTTTTTTAGCATATTATCGGCACTGATTGGCAAAACGAATTTCCAGCTTCAATATCAACTAATTTTTTCGCTCTGGTGTCTCACTTTCAATCCAGCTATAGCTGAGAAATTTCCACAAACCGGTGCTATCCAAGTGCTCGGTGATATCCTCTCGGAATCCAGCAAAGAAAAGGTAAATTTATGAGACCTACACGATCAAAGAAATCCTTCCAGCACAAGTATTTTTAATTTTTTTTTTTTTTTTTTCATTAGTTATTGGGTTTTCTACCGATTTTTCATAAGTAACTCATCAAAATCCAAGTTACAGTGTTTGTTTTTTTGTTTTTTTGTTTTTTTTTTTCATCGGTGCACAAGGAGTACCAGCCGGAAGAGCAACTCATATTCCCTTCAACATGAAACTCTGTGATTAGCCTTTTGAGCTCGTAGACAGCTGCGATTGCTTGGGACAAACAATGCGGAATGATAAGTAACAGCCATTAGAAGGCCGAATCATAAGTGGACGGTCCAAGTGGAGCGGCCGGACCGGGTTAAACTAATCAATAATTTGCGGCCCTTAGTGGCCGAATCGTAATTTCTGAAGTAAACACCGGCCCGGACCGTGGAAAATATGGAACGGTCATAATCCATAAATTTAAATATTGGGTGGAATTAGTTAATAGATTATGATGGGAAAGATAATAGGATTGTTAATGTGGTACAAACCCTGTAACATGTTGAAAATTCATGTAAAGAGGAATAGGTAGATGTTGGTTTGCCTGTGTTTGATCCCTTAGCTATAAATACAGACAGTATAAGGTGCGGTTAGGGGTGGGAATCATCAGTACAGCCTTCTAGCCACCATGTTAGACGAGGAACCTTTTTCCTTCTTGCGAGTATCACTCATTGGTGTGTGGTGTCCGCCGATTATCAGCAGAACGGATAATGTGCTTTGCCAGTTGAATCTTTCTTGCGCAGTTGTAGTGATATTCTGTACGCTGTTCATCTGATTGGGAGTTTTATGTGGTCACAGAGAAGCATTCAAAATGTTTTTCAGTTTACCACTCTCTCCGTTCAAGCTGACATTGCCTTTTTTGCTTTTATCAGTGACCACGTTTCACATCCATTTTGAATTTTGCTGAAAAAAACACATATTTCAGGTGATACGTATTATCTTAGGAACATTCCGGAATATTCTCGAGAAAATTGATGATCGAGAAATTGAGCGAGCCGCAGCCCTACAAATGGTCCAATTCAAAACGTTAAAAACGCTCGAATTAATGGATTCGAAGAAATTCGATGATCCAGAACTTCAGGATGACATCGAATTCCTCAGCGATACACTGCATACTTCAGTGCAGGATCTTTCATCATTTGACGAATATGTCACAGAGGTTTGGAGATTTTATTTAGTTGTTATGACAGTTTTTCACTTACTGAAAGCTTTTACAAAAGATGGCTGTTATAAGCTGAAAACACACAGCTTAAGGTACAGCTTAAGGTAACAAAAGCCTGAGATGGCTGTATTGGACGCACAGATCCAAGCAACCTTGCTACTCGACATTTTCACATGGTGGTTAGGAGGCCGTACTGATGATTCCCACCCCTATAATCGCACCTTATACTGTCTGTGTTTACAGCTAAGGGATGAAACATAGGCAGACCAACTTCTGCATATTCCTCTTTACATGACTTTTCAAAACGTCACACTGGTTTTGCCACATTAACAGCCCTACTATCTTCCCCATCATAGCCTACCAACTAATCCCACCCAACGATAAAATTTATGGGTTACGGCCGCCCCATATTTTCCACGGTTCGGACTGGCCGTTTACTTCGGAAATTACGATTTGGCCTTCCAAGGGCCGCAAATTATTTGTCAATTCAACCCGCTTCGGCCGCTCCATTTGGTCTATTCACTTATAATTTGGCTTTCTAATGGCTGTTACTTATCATTCCATTAACAGCGCAGCTCCTTCTCGACCGCCTAGCCAGGCCCGGTGATTGTGATGAGGTCTCAAAATAAGGAGGATTTAGAGAAAGCAAGGCGGCAGAATTTTAGGAAATGGTCAAATTTGCCTTTATTATGACTTTTCCACCTTGCCGTAAAAGCTTGGATGAATGTGAAAAAAACCTCGCTCACTTCGGTACTTGGACCAGCTGTAAGGCAGAAATCTCCCAACAACCCAATTTTTCCAGTTTCACTTACACCCAGCTCGCTTTTTTAAAGAAGCACACGGATTCGTAGTGGTCCACTGACCTGCGAAACGAAGTCACTTAGGAAAACAACAAAGATTCAGTTTGAATAAACAACGGTGGATATTTCTAGTGCCATTTTATAATTGCTTAAGTGCTTGCAAGATCCGCAGTATGGTACTTGGGCCGTCGATTAGTGCACTGGTCGATACAGGACGATTCCTTGATTTGCCTAGTTGATAGATCATTAATGTTTTTGTTTCGGTTATTAACGATATCCACGGCGTTCGGTTCCAAAATCATGTATTTTAGGTAAAGTCAGGTCGATTACAGTGGAGCCCGGTGCATAAATCAGAGAAATTTTGGCGAGAAAATGCCCAGAGATTTAATGAAAAAGATTTTGAGCTTCTGAAGTAAGTCCTTTTTTTAAGTTTTTTTTTTCAGTTTTCTAATTTCACGAAAATTTTAATTTCCCGCGAATTTTGATTTCCAAATTTTTCATTTAGAATTTTGATTAAAATTTTGGAAGCGCAATCCGATACACTGGCTCTATGTGTCGCAGCGCATGATATTGGAGAATATGTGAGGCACTATCCGAGAGGCAAAAAGTATGTTTTTTTTTTATTTAGTATTTTTGGAATATTTTTGAAAATAACTGTACATTTGATTCTTGGAATAATATTGAATTTGTGCATTTCAGCGAGCTTTTCAGAGCATTTTCCAATTTTGAACCATTTTGGAGTTGTTTAAGATTGATTTGGTTGCAGGAGATTCTGGATGGACGGGAATAATAGGGTTGAAGGTTGGATGAAATTAAGGATGAATAGGGACAAAGAGGGATTTCAGGTGAATGAGGACAATGAAGTTTTAAGTATGGATGAATGTGAGACATAAAATGTGAAGAAAATAGCCGGTTTTAGAGAATTTAGATGAAAAAGTACGCGGAAAATCCAGGATGGTTCAGGACGGAGCCATCTTGATCACCGTGAATTTGCAAAGGCTAGTGCCGCGAATGTCTCGAAACGGCAAAAACTTCTAAATTTTCGAGATCCTGTATATTCATTTGAAAGTTAGTAATAGTTGAAGAGAAAGTATTGTAAAGAAAGAGAGAAAAAGAAAAAAGAAGGAAAAAAGGGAAAAGAGAAAATGGAAAAGAATTGTTATCCTCATTCATCCAAATTAAAACTTTATCATCCTCATTCGTTTGAAATCCTTGTACATTTCGATTCATTTTAAATCCCTGTACATTTTGATCCACTTGAAATCCCCCTACATTTCGATTCATTTGAAATCCCGATCTCTTGTCGAGAGAATCATCGTTTAAGTTGAGAATTCATTCCTGAGGCGGGACCAACATCAGGATTAGTCCACCAGGTGATGCAGCACTGGTCATAATACCTCGAAAAATTTGAAGACACAGTTGGACTTGTTCGAATATTCCTCAGCTATTATGGTCATGAAGAAATCCGTTGTTTCAGTAAACTTGAACAGTTCCAAGGCAAAGAGGCAATGATGCGATTGCTGTCAGCGGAAGATCCGAATGTACGCTATCATGCATTGCTCGCAATCCAGAAACTAATGGTCCACAACTGGGAATATCTCGACAAACAGCTCGACGTTCCTGAAAAAGATCCTGCCGCTGGTGCTGCTGCTGTTGCCTGAAAAGTCATGTAAAAAGAGTTGTCCAACGCACCGACTTCCGGTGCGAAGATGCGTTTTTTGCATAGTTCCTCGCAAGTTTTTGTCGCTAACAGCACAGGTTTTTCCGGCAGATGCTTCTAGCTAAAAGAATTGAGACTGACCGCCAGGACATCCGTTTAAAATTCCAGTTTTCTAGCTTTCCTGGTTCTCTAGTTAGTAACTTACCCGCAAAAGACTTTTACAGGTTCGTACATGGGAACCACGCATACCCGGAGGCTAAGTTTGAACTCATTAGGATCTACGTAGACGTGGAACATCCCCTTAAAATTCCGGTCTTCTCGCTTCTCAGGTTCCCGAATTAGAAACTTATCGGGAAAAAACTTTTGAAGATGATGGCCCGTACACGCATGTAGTTTAAGTCCCCAAAGTTTCAGCCCTGTAGCTTTTGTGGGTCTTGGGATGAAAAATCGGTACAGACGCACAGCGCACACACAGACAGCCTCTCGTCAGTATGCTTTTTCTGCATTGCATAGATGCAAAAAACGCATTAAAAACTTTTGTTCTTAGCACTTAAGAAACTCGTCTTAAAGAGTTCACTTATATTGAATGTACATTCACCCAGTTCATTCCATCAGTAGCTCCATCTAGTAATGGGTTTATTTCACTTTTGTAGCGCCAGTAGTATTTTGATGAAATGGCGCTAATGGTACTTTGATTCTTAATGTTCGGGCAGAATAGCTATGGCCCATTTATAGTTTTTTGGGAGATCTTTGTCTTTCAGCGTTGCAGGAGCTTGTGATTATTACCCCTTTAAGGCATTATTCATCAGTGAGTCTC